AAAAAATGAGGAATTTTAAATAGTTAATTTTATACTAATATTGATATATTTTTGTCAAATTTATATTTTATTAAAAAAATAAAAACATTATCGTTTTCTCAAAATCACATAAGACCATATTATAACATTGACTGAGATAAATAATAAAATAAAATATCAAAAAAAATGCATCTCACTGCATTGTATAAGTACCCTTTTAATGTATATATAAAATTAAAAAAGTAATAACATGAAAACAATTGATAAAATTAATGATTATCTTAAATAATAAATATATAATGTAGAATTAATAATTAATTTTCAATTTATATTAATTAATAATTAGTATTGATTTATAACTAAAAGTAACAAATAATAATTAATATTATTAAGAGTTATAATTGTAAAAAATCACAATAAGCTATCAAAACGTTACTCCAAGTAACATTTTAATAAGTTAGCTTATGTGCATCCAAATGTATAATTAAAAAATAAGTTAGTTTATTTTTATAAATATTTACATGTTTCTATCCTATTAAAGATAAGGAAATACGTCTTTTTTTGCATAATAAAAGAAACATATAGTTATCGAGTTGTAAAGATTGAAGCACTGCTTTTTATAAATAAATAATCAACAAAATCGACAAGCGATCGCTTGATTTTTCTTTAATTATATTTTTACAATTTCATTTGTTATATTATTTTTATTCAATTTAATTATAAGAAATTAGAAGGATGCTCGCATAATACAGCAAGAGATCTATTTCAATTTTAATGTTTCGTTTTATTATTTATTTATATCGATATAATACGGTTTTTAATGGTTTTGAGAAAACAATGATGTTTTTATTTTTATGAAAAATATATATTTAAAGATATCATAAAAATTTGGGAAAAAAAATATTAATATTAGTATCAAATTTGCTAAAAGTTATCGTTTTTTGTGTAATTTCTTTAATTCAGTATTTTATTTATAATTTAATTTAGATTTAGTAACAAAGTAATTTATTTATCGTTTAATAATCTATACTATATTATAAAACATTTGGCTAAAACTCTTAAAAACTCTTAAAACTCTTAAACTCTTAAAAACTCTTAAACTCATTCATCCCTATCCGATTTCATTCCATATCTGAATT